GGGGGGGGGGGGGGGGGGGGGAACTTTCATATGAAAAGGTCGCAGATGCTCGTCGCCTCGATTAGGGGTATAAATCAAGGATTCTTGTCTCAATTAGAGTGTTGATGACAAAGCACCACTATTCTTAGCTGTCAAAGTATCGTTTAGGGTGCACTCGAAGAAATAATAAAAGAAACGCTCTTATTTCTATTTTTAAGCTCGATTTCCGCCGGTCTCTCAAATTCAGTATACTAGCGTGTGCTCCTTTCCTGATCAGCGGCTGGTAATCGAGCCTATTCGGTTTTAAGTGGTATCTTTTAGGGGTCAAATAAACCTCGAGCCACACCCAGACTGGTCTCCTTCAGGGGTTTAATTCGAATGTTCCGACGGTTTAATTCGAATGTTCCTTTTCATATGGGAGTCCCTCTCGGGAATGAAAGCACGCCTGAGTACAGTAGATACATTATCATAATTATAATTTGGCGGGAAAACATTACCAATTTCACCTGCTTGGAGCATGTGTTTTTGTATTCCCGGATGTACGGCGTTAGGGTTTCTTATGTGTTCTTATGTGTTCCTGGGTTTAGAAATTTTGTTCCCGGTTTCCGGCGTTTAGCATTTTTTTATGCGTTCCTGGTTCAGTAATTTTGTGTTCCGAGTTTTAGTATTCCGGCGTTCCACCGCTCCAATCCGTTCCAGGTTCCAGTACTAGGAACGGATAAACAAACTACTGCGTTTGATGACATGATAACGTCATACACCAAATTTCACGCTCTGATTGGTTCTTGTGTAATGCTGCCACCTCGTCAACCTTGGCTGCCTCATTGTCAATTACATTAGCTCCGTTTGAGCTTTCATACGGTGGAATGTGGAACAATTTGACGAAAAGGTAAATCAATTAAAAATTAGGAAAACGCACTTTGCAGAAATTTGTTTCGCTTGAAAGATTCCTCCAAATCTAAGACATCTAAGTGTTAAATCTTCAAAGCGGTTCCAAAATCACAGGTAAAATTCACTTTATTGCAAAGATCTTGCCTTATTCTAACAGAAAATAACATCAAAGTTGCGTATTTGTGAGCTATATTTCGACAATATTTACATAGCATTACCCATTTGACGGTTAGAATGCCCAACCACATAATCTAAGGCCCCAGCCTGAGCTGCCTCGTGTTAATTGTTTAGTGCGCAGAAATCCACTGCCAAACAAGTGTAATACAAGCGTAATGCTAAATCAAATAGACAGGATACATTTTTACATTCCGTTAATTTTACGAATCAGAATTCAATCTGCCTCGATCAGGCCCGATTCGACCCCTATTGACGAGTAATTTTTGGAATTTATCCTTCTTTTCTTTCGGCTCTCGGAACGTGCGCATTATATGATAGTTTTTAATTGGCTCATTGCAGCTTGTATTACTTGTTATCGTTATGTACAGTTATTTTTGACACCCCCGGCGGAAATCCGATACATTTTTGTGTTACAAAAGTTCTAAAGTTTGTGGAATTTGTTCTTCAGAGTGTTTAAAGATAACGTCTACCTAAAGCTACTCAAACATTTGTAAGCGGTTATTTCCAAACTCGCAAACAACAATACAACCGCTTTTGAGTACTAATGCGGAAGAAGGCTTGAAAAACTGACCCAACTCTTTTCCATATTCACCAAACTTGGTGACAAATTTTCCGTCTACCGTGAAAACCTGTACTGTGTGACTTCCTGCACAACAAACCAGGAGGTGCCCTGTTTTGTCCACTGCAAGACAAACTGGCTGATTTAAATCCCCATCTTTGGTCCCATATTTTCCAAATTCATACAAAAATTTTCCTTTGCTATTGTAAACCTTGATAACATGTATTTCAGAATCGGACACAAAGATTTTACCGTCATAACACAAACATCCCAATGGTCGACTGTGAGACAACCGACCTTTCCCTATTGTTTTGAGGATGTTGCCGCTTGGAGAAAAAATCTTGACACATTTATCTCCAGCATCACAGACAATAATATTTCCTTCAGAATCTAGAGATATCCCCCGGGGTTCGATAAGTGATCCGGGTTTGTTCAAAGTTGAAACATATTCTCCATTTTGATTAAAAATCAATATTCTGTCATTACCCCTGTTAGTAACAAAAATCCTACCACTGTTATCACATATTAATCCAGTTGGGTAACTAACCTGCTGTCCAAAATTCCTGATAAACTCCCCTTTCTCATTCAAGACTAAAATTCTGTTGTTACCCATATCACTTAACAAGATTTCATTCGAGTTATTCGTAGCTAAACCCCACGGATGATACAAGCTAACGTTGTCAATACTTCCTAGCGCAAGGCAACCAACAGGCTTGAAGGAACGTTTAGTGACAGTAATTTTTGGAAACTCGCTGAATTCCTGTCCATTCACGACCGCTGTAATCTGGTGTTCTCCTGTTTGTTTTGGAACACAAGACACTTTGTATCTGCCATTACTTCTGTCCTTAATTTGCACGTCGCCGGCTAATGTTCCATTTCGTACAGGCGCGACCTTGACGGTAACACTGTCCGCGGGGAAATAGGTGAAATAGCATTGTTCTTCATCCAAACGTCGAGTGATCAACTCAAATCGTGTTTCCAGCCCGGCAATAGCTTTATTTGTTAGTTCAACAGTACAGTGAATCGCTTGTACTGCAGTTTTATCAAGGCGTCCAATGCCTGAAGTTTGAAGACTATGAAGCAATGCTTGGTTTTCCAAAAACACAGTGGCCTCACACGACGAGGGGAGAACATTTGGTGTAGGCGGAAGTTCTCGAAATAACTCATTCAAACTCGATTTTGCTCGCACAATTTCTGCACCACTACAGCGTTCAAGCAGGCGCTCAATCCGTGTGATGATCTTTTCTCTCTGTTTTAGTTGATCCTGAATCTTAGCTTTGTCGTTCTCGAACTTTTCGAGTACTTCTTTTGTCTGGTTATCCACTTCTGCCAGTAATTTTCGTTCTTGTTGCTTTAGAGTCGAGATCATTGTTTCCACAGTTTGTTGTATTTGTTCTTTAATAATTTGTGAGCGATGTTCAGTAATGCGGGTCTGTTCCTCCAGTTCTCGAATGTAAATGGACATTGTCTGGCATGATTTCTTTGTAGTATCAATTTGAGTAGCGATGTTATCCTTTACCGCTCTTGTTGCTTTTTCCAAATGTTCCACCTGATGTCTGTTATGCTCCAAAGTCACGCAAGTATGACAAGCGGGAACTTCACACTCTTTGCAGTAAAACTTCAACACTCCTTTCTCGTGAAGCTCTTTCCGGCAAAAAGCTGGTCGCTTGAGAATATCCTTGAAGTCTTCTTCTTGAAAATCTTTGAGCGCCAGAACACGATGTTCTTTGTTTTCTCTCAAGATGTTGTGCGCGTTTATACAATCTTTGCACCAAAACTTGCCACAGTTAAAACAATAACTTGTATCTTCGCTTTTCTGATCACAGTTTCCACAAGTGACTTTTGATGTGTTACATTCTTTGATTGCCAAAATATCGAGCAGATTTTTCAAGTAGAAACAGTCTGGCAGAGTTTCCATGCTGCCACTCTCGGGAACAGCCACTTCAATTTGGCAGAGTGGACATTTGATCTTTCCATGGCGGGCGCTCGTCCTTGCCAAGTCGTTCAAGCATTCAAGGCAGAAAATGTGTAAACATGGCAGCTGTTTGGGTTCTTCGTACAAGTGAATACAAACAGAGCAAGTTACTTCTTCCTTTAGGTTGGGCATCAGAGTTGGGATATCCATCCTGGAAACTTAGAAACGAACGAAAATGCTTCTTAATGCGATCAGACGAATTTCAATAGTTCTTCGCAGCGATCGTACCAGTCACGAGATTTCTCAGAAACAAAACGGTATGCCGATCACGCTAAATCAAGAATTGTCACGCGACTTCTATATATCCCTAGGGTATTACGAAACAGAGCCCCTGCCCCCCTCCCCTAAGTAAAACGGGTTCTGGTTCTGATTGCAATTGATACAATAGCCTTTGCCAGGCTCTTGCTCAGCGAAGCGGGCGGGAGACCAGCGGTGTCTCCTTTTCTCTCCCCATTTGTCGCTCGTCCGCTTGTTCCATCTTCCCCACTGACCAAGAGCCTGGGACAGTCTAATTTATACACACACACAAAAAAAACAGCAACAACAACAAAAACGCTACTTCATTCAAAATGACAGATGACTCGAATTTTAGGCCCTCTTACTGGGGTAATTGTCTTCATCAGGCGATTTTCAAATGGTTCTTATACAGGAATGTCACCACATCACCCCTACCTCGACCTTGATTATTCTGGATATCACAAAAACCTCATGCAATAATTGTTTATTAAAAGCACCAGAAGCAATCACAATTCGAACTAGAAGTTATGGCAAAATAAATAATACATTTAGTTTGGGAAAACAATTTAAAAGTGCGCACAATGTCCGAAATATTTTGAAATTGATTATGCAAGGGAAATTGAAACATACGGTTGAACCTCTACTAACGGCCACTTTCTCATTTCCCAGGGGACGGTCCATACATTCACTCTTAATTTAACGTCTCTACGACGGCCACTTATCGAGAACAGTAACTACCACTTTACCACGTCTCAACGGCCAAAATTATTTGCCTCTCGACGGCAGCCAGTTTAATCACCGAACCCATGATGTCCTGGGTGGACAAAACCTAATGTTTTATTGCAAAAGGTCTGATCCGTTTCTTTTTGGCTTCTGTTCTAGATATATTTTGATTGTGTGATGTAGCTATATGCTACAATAAGCTGTTTTATTTTTTGTTTTATAAAAAATAGAAAATATAAATAATGTTGCACCCCAAAAAACCGATGCCATATTGCATCCCTACCTTTCCATAACGGCCACCCCTCCATTTTTTTTTT